GGGTGGAAATGCTGTTGATACATAGTTGGGAGGCATTTCCCCTGAACGTCCAGTGCTTCCACGCGGGGACCCACAGCCTACCTTCACGGCCTCCTTAAGTTTCATAGACATCTGGGAATTCCATACATGCCTCCCAAGCCAATTACACACCTTCAAACGGGCACGCACTTTGATTTGGACAGCGAGAAGGACTTTCCCAGATCACCGAGATCAATCACAGCACGATAGCACTGTGAAAGATTTATTTAGTGACAATGCGCAGGAATACATTTCAAGGCTATACAAAGTGGGGAAGTCGCTAAATTACCGCTGATGTAATATGTGCAATTACACCAGACGTGAATCGATTTTTTTCCTCAGTTATGATCTCATAAGGCACGTCCTTTGTAACTGACGACAATTTCTAAAGAATTTCTGAAATCCTATAACCCCTGAAGTGAACTTCTGCTGAAGTTCAGCTGCTGGCAGAAAGGAGACTGTAGCAGGAGTCCAGCAGCGGGCTCATCTGACCTCAGTGTAACTCATTTACTTATAATGGCGAGTTTCAAGCACAGGCCTTAATCCAACTGTAAACAAAGCCAGAGAAAGAGAGAGTGAGAGAGAAACTGGAGACTGCACGGGGCTTTCAAAAAAATGTTTTAATTAAAATTTTAGATTGACTGGCGCTTTTTTAACAGCACACACTGTGCTGCAATAAAAACGTTTCTGTCTTTTAAATCACGAGTTGACCTCAATCTTTCCTTAAATAGTTTAGTTATATGTGAGAAGCGTACCAAACCATGATTTAAAAAAATATTATTTTCTTTTTGGATGTGCAACAAATAATAATAATAATAAAAAAAACATATATCCAACACTTTTATCCATGCCAGTAATAACGCCATCTGTTTTTCCTAGCTGGCAATAGTGGGAGGTTTTACCATTAAATTGATGGATATGCAAATGCAATCACCCTCCACGTGATGTATGAAAGCTAATTTATTTCAGATGTAATTTATGTTGACTATCAAATGTAAGCGTGCTTTACTTGGCAGTAGTTTCGCCCTCCTCACTGGCAAGCACGCTGGGTAAAAACAAGGGGGGGAAGTCAAATGCGAGCAGCTTTCATCATCTTTCTTTAATGCAAAAAAAAAAGTTATATACAAACATTTACAAAACTGAAAAAACGATAATAAAAAATAGGAACGTATTTATTTCAGACACAGGATCTATTCTCCAACACGTTTCATCAATAAATAAATAAATGCATTCTGAAAAATATTTTTTTTGCACAGGTTAGATCCACAAAGTCAGCCTGTAATGTGAGCCACACATTACAGGCTCCCTCTCTCTCGCACACACACAAAAACGAGAAAAATAAAAAACAAAAAAACTGAGACTTCAATAATGCACTTTGACCTCCACAGAAATAAAGCCCAAAGGCATGCATTTAAAAAAGGCGAAATTTTAAACATTCGTCGTCAACAGCACGAAAACACACCAGAATTGGGGTGTATGGAGCTAACACACACACACGGCTGTGAGTCCCTTTCGGGCCTCTGCACAAAACTTCTGATGTCGTTAGGCGATCCCATGTATCCAGCATTGGACTCCAGATTGTCCCTTTTCAGAATGTGAGTAGTAGATTCAGCAGTCACCTGTAGGTAAAATAAGGCATTCGCTAAGTCACGAAACTCTGCAGAAAGACACAAGGAAAAGTGTACAAAGTAAAGCTGCTTAGGTTGAATTACACCACTGTACTGTGCAGCCATAAAACAGTCTATTTATTTATTTTCCAGTCATGCAGTTTTAGTTGAAAAAAGCCAAGCGTACCATTTTGGGCATGATTTCTCCAGGTGCTAGTGAGATGTTGACATGGACCAAGCGCCCTCCATCCTCCACACAGAGAAGGCGTAGCTCAGCCTCTCGTGAGCCACATAACTGCAGCTTGACATTTTGGAGTCCAGCTCGTCGCTCTGCAGCACCTGGCAGAGGAAGTCGATGTATCTGGCTGCAAGTTTTAGGGTCTGTATTTTGCTGAGTTTGTCCGAAGGTAAAGTGGGGATAATTTTCCGCAGAGCCGCGAAAGCCTCGTTCAGAGACTGGGTCCTCTGTCGCTCCCGGACGTTGGCCATGACCCGCTGCGATTGGAGCTCCTCGAAAGACTGGGGGCTGCTGCTGCTGGACTTCTTCCCTCTTTTCCCAGGGGTTGGGCTATCTGAGTCCTCCCCATTTTTCCTGCTCGGTCTCCTCTTCCTCCCACATCTCTTCGGCTGTCTGTCCAGCTCCCCCTCGCTGTTGCTCAGGCTGTCCACAGGAGAGACTGGGGAGCTGCCCGATTCTTCCCCCAGATTTTCCTCAGACATCTCCACCTGGGTCGATGGCGGCCAGAAAGTGTCCCCCCAAAATTATTTCCCTCTCATGAAGTCAAAGAGTTAGTCCACCTGTGGCTCTACCAGGCTTTGAAGGCACCAACGAATCCATAAATGGGTTACGGGAAAGACAAGTCTTTTCTGTTACTTGAGATACTTAAGCAGTTCTTATAGGCTGCATGGCGTAAACTTTTTTGGGGGAACGACGGGATTGGTCAACAAGATGAATTACGTGAGTCGAGGGGCGGGAGTATCTCGGCAACTATCAGCACAGCCCTCATTGCAAAGCCAGAGCTGGGAAAGGCAGCTTAAGGTGCTATTTCTCATGATTGCCTGATTATTATGATTGCAAAATAGACATCAAAATATAAAATGAAGTGAAAAGCAGAACACGAAAGAAGAGCTGAATTTAATTAGGCTCCTAGCAGTGAGGGAGGAATCGAAAAGTCAAAGGCTGATCAAGGCATTTCCCCCGTTTTCCTTTCCAAGCAAAACGGGGAAAAAAGACACATGAAGAAGTTCACATAGCAAAATGACACACAAGACATGAGAATTAAAAACATAAGGTTATAGTTGAACAGGAGAGAAAATCAAACTGAGACTGGAATAAAAAACCAGACTAAATAAATTAGTAGAAACGGGCGCACACAACAGATATAACGCTGGCACGTGTGCAGGTGTCATGTCTTGTTTATTCCTAAGAATCGTTGTGTATCACGCAAAAGTTCCTTAACGAAAGAGATTTAATTCACCCGCTTAAGCATAACATGCCTCTACACGGCTGGGGAGTGCAAAAGGAAGACTTTGCTAGGATCCTGGTGTTGATGCTGTTTGTGCTAGAAAGGTCTTCAAAATGAGAAAACACAGCAATAATGATCCAGGATGAGGTCTTTCTTTCCTTTCACCAATCCATCATTTAAACAAGCCAACTGCTCATCCATCATCCAACTTCGGATCACTGTGTGTGCTATAATCTCCACTAACTGTTCTCTTTTTAAGAATCAACTATAGTAAATTGTGGGGGTATCTGTAGATATTGGCCATATAGATTTGCATGGGATAAGTGATCCCATCTCACATTTTACCATATAGTGTAAAAGTTTATTTTTAAGAACCGAGAGGGCTATTTTAGTTGTAACATTGGGGGGAAAATTCATGTAAAACAGTGTTAGATTCAAATTGTTATGTGCTTGCTCACTCTGGACAAAACTAAAGGAAATGATTTTTTTTGCCTGTTTTTTCCAGTCAGAGAGATGAAAAGAGGGCAGCTTTGTGTGTTTGGCTCTCTGGTATTTACTAGGTTGGTGATACAATATCCATCTTGTTTAGTGGAGGATTACTTTGTTTAGGTTGGGAAGAGTGTAGTCCACAGGAGCAGCATCTGGTTCAGGAAACAGGGGGGGTCAGCCAGGGTCGAAGGTCACAACACTACCAAACATCCATTTACATCTTCGTGGAGGCCTGAGACTTAGTAGACGTATTGTTCCGAGGGAAACATGCTTGTTTAAGTGAGCGGTTTCCTCCTTGTATCAAAACTTTTACATTTTAACTAAAGAGACAATAAACTGTGTTTGAAATTTGTTATTGCAAAACATGCATGCTCATTCATTCACTCATTTTCCTTTGTTAAAAAGTACATGTGAAATGTTTAATTAAAGATTGTGACTTTCAGAGATTTGTACAACTTTAAAAAAAAAATCAGAATAGCTAAGGCCTCATCAAGGTGAGCGTATCTGTCTAGTATAATAAATCTCTGGTGTAAAACTTTGCACAATCATCTCTGCTGTACAAAAGAGATAATCCAGTTTTATATTTACTGTTTTTTGAGCTGTTTCCTTTAAACTGAAATGAAATAAAGTGTTCAAATGAATGAAGCCTTCATCTTTTTAATGTCAATCCATGTCATGTACTTAAACTGTCGCAAAGCACATTTATTCAAGTGCTGGAAAAAATTTGCTTGAATAATTAAGTGCTGCAGATCTCTCTCTTAGAATGAAAACCATGATAAATATATAAATTATGATACTCAACACTTCCACTATCGCGCCTTTAAAAATAAGTTACAGCTTACAAAGGAAGTGTAGCGCAGTGCTTCGTTGCTATTTGTTATCTTCTTTTACAACTCAGATATTTATGACTACACTGTATTGTATCACTGAGGAGTTTCAGTCGGTTGCCTTCCTGCGTCTGCACACGTGAACTAAGCTTTGTAACTTCTGCAGCCACACTTGTGCCAGAGGAGTTGTGATTTCAAAGTGAGTGCACACTTAGTTCACGAGGAGTCCACATCTTTCCTCATTTTAAAAAGCAGTAATGCAGAAACTGGGATGGACACCCATGCTACATTTACATTTCTTGGCAGATCTTTCTCCAGAGTTCAGCTCTTTGCTGCTGAAGTAACTCTGAGAAAACACAGCTGCTTCTCGAGAATATGATGTCATCACAGGACAACTCCTCCAGTGTTGATCTTCAATAAGGACAAAACCTTCATCGGTCAGTTACAGACTCTCAGGGCTTGAAGTGCACGAAGAGGAGATAAGCAGCACCGACTGCTTTCTTACTGCTCAGCCTAGAGTAGTGGCACGTGACAGATGAAGAAAGCCTTTTCCCTTATCAATGAGCAATGAGTGGCTGTTGTGATAAAGTCAAAGGCATATTACTGATTCATGCAACTTGACACGCCAGTCATGTGTGACCCCAGAGCGTCATTAACCACCCCTCCCTGAGGTCACATCAAGGCAGGCGCAACTCAGGCTCTCACTCTCGAAGCACTGAGTGAGAGCGAGATCCACAGAGACCTGTCTATTTTCTCTGCTCAGGTCTTGGAAGGCCGTGTTTCTCTATCAACCTTCTCATATCTATTGAAATAACAAACCACAGCCCTCCACATGTATGAGTCTCCCGCTATTGACAGTGATATTCATGTTCACTCCATTAAAGTGTAACCGCAATGAGTCCAGTGCCAGCTCGCCAAGATGGATCAACTGCACGGAATGAGAAAAGACAGAGGTACGCTCTTCAAAGAGCAGCTCCAGATAGCGTCTAATCAGCCCTCGGGACTAACAAGGTCAAGCAGCAGAGTTGGATGACCACATTTTTTCCTCTGAAATACTCTCAAAATGTCCCAGTCTGTGGAGAAACCAGACATCGTAATCAGGGTTCTTTCTGATAGCGGGGGATGGCGAGATTTGGGGTGTTGAATTGGGAAGTGATGATGAAAACAGCCCTTTATAAGCTGTCTGGACACATAGGAGCCAAGACTGCTGAAGTTAGCTGTAAAAGAAAGCCTTTGAAAGCCTCGGTGCTTTGATGTTACAGGTTCTAATCGTGGCTCAAGCCAGATTTCACGGAGCAGAATACAAATTTACTTTGAGAAATGCAGCAAAGCCGAGCCCATCTCTGCCCCTTCCTTATCTAATAAAAATATCATTTTTTGAGAAGCGAAAGGCTCATGTTGTGCACAAAGAAGTGCAGATGTGTAGAGGCATGAGTGTGAGTGTAATGGATGTTCTGTTAAATCTCGTCATGTGATCCTAATGACTCTGCGGGATATCAGACAGCTCAACCGGACAATGACACCTTATTAGCCACTAAGAACCAACAAACGCCCAGTATGTTTTCACAGCTTGGAAACTCTGGGTGATGTGGGGACTGTGAAGAACTGGCATCCCAGCAGTATAATCTTGTCTTAAAACACACACAGACACACACTTGCACACACAAAACAAACACAGACCCTCCTCCGAGAGCTTGAGGAAGAGTTTCACTGGCCAAATGTTACTCACAAAACACAATTTATGTATTCTCTGTATTGAGAAAAAACAAGAGCTCACTGATTTCTAAACTGTCAGTGAAAAACTAGAGCATAATCCAAATACATTTTATGGTCCTGCTTTATCTAATGCCTCGGTACCACTGAGTCATGCCTTCTGCTGGCTATAAAGCATGCTGCCATCCAGCAGACCACACACGCATTCACCCATGCTGCTGCAGCATGGAGACCAGTGCACTGACCCATGCAATGAAAATATCTGTTCACAGAGCTACAGTAGCTTTATCACATTTTGCTGGGCTGTATGAGATCGACAGGTGCTGCACTGTGACATGGCACATAGTGACCAGTCTAATATAACATCATTGAAGGAACTCAAGTCAAAAAATTATACATCATAATCTGATTACATGTCTGTCAAAGCAGAGTATGAAAATGGTCCTATGAAGAGTATTGTACAGCTTGGATTAGAAACAGACAACTGACTTCAAGAAAGTCATACAGGGCACAAGCTGGAACATCACCAAAGAAGAGGAAGATCTATTTGTTTTCATTACATCTAATCTTTAAAAGCCTGTCAGTAATATCCAGTGTGGTTCATGCATTGCTAAAAACACTGCTCACAGTGCAATAAACAGCTGAGAAGAAAATACATAAAGGCTCTGGAGCTGACTTTCACATAAACTTTTTTTTATACCCTTTCAGACTCTGCTGTTTGTTTGCCAAATCCTAATCCCACCTGGGGCACCAAAGTAGCTGGAGCAGGGCCTTCACTAATGCCCTCCCCTACACTTATACAGAAGTGCATTTGGATGGACATGTGTTTACTTTCTCACGTATATAGAAATATGCATTTAAACAACTGTGAAATCTCCGGGGAGAAAATAGCAACCTGTAGATTGTTAGTGACTATGAAACTTTACAATAAACTAAATTACAGTTTTCCACAGTTACTTTTCCAGAGTTGAAACTATGCAAACAACTGCAGAAGCAATTTAATGCTTCTGCATTTAGCAGGGTTACATAGTTGTGCATTTTACTCCTTACTAGACAGTACAATTTATGAAGAAACTGTGGTAGGATTATTCTGACAGACCTGGTCTAGGCCTTGCTGCTTAAAAGGTGCAGGTTAACAGGTTGGATAAAAAGGATGGAATTTGAAAAAGTGCTTAGCCACTTTACTAGAGCACAGATGTACCTAATAAAGTGGCTATTTGTACTTGATATATTGGCCAGCAACTTTATTCAGTACACAGGTGTCCCTAAAAAAATTGGTAATTGTGTACCTAATCAAATGGCCTCATTTATACCTAATGTTGTGGTCAGAGGTGTACGTAGTAAAGTGTCCAGCCATTTTTA